CTAAGCAGGTGTGGGAGAGAAGAGGCTGTGGGCATCTGAGGAGCCAGGCTCTGAGCAGCCCAGGGGCAGCAGAACCACACAGCCAGGGAGCCAAAGGAAGAAGGGTGTGGACTGAAAAAAAGCCAAAGCAGAGGGCCCAGGCAGGGCAGCTACATAAGCACCTGGAGAGGCCAGAGAGGAAACACACGGCTATACACTTGAACATGACTTTGACCATAGCTTCCTCTCTGCTGGGGGATAGAGATGAGGGCTGGAGTGAAAGGGGCGCCTTGGGAGGCAGCTGAAGAGATGTAAGTGCCATTCTTCCCTAAAGCAGGAACAGCAGGAGGTGGGCTTGGCTCCAGACCCTGAAGGAGTGATCCACCCTCTGTGAGCCCAGGGCCAGTCAGTGCGGGAGAAGGAGAAATTAAGAGAACTCTCCTCTGCAAGTGATCACATTCTGCAGGGAAATGACTCTGAAATAAGTACTGTCGTTCAGGGAAGGCACAGAGAAGGCCTTTGGGAGGGCTTCAAGGAAGTGTGCACTGCAGGAAAAAGGGCAGGTAAAGGCACAGCCAAGGCAGGGAGGCCTACTCTGCATCCTAAACCCTGGGCCGCATTTTCTGGCAGCTGTGGGCCACAGCCTCCAGACAGGAGCAGAAGAAGAGAGAAAAGCTGAGGCCAGGAAAGAACAGCAGGGACACACAGAACGGAGAAACCAGACAGCAACCTGCTTCCACACATCAGCAGGCCTCAGGCAGCCTCACGCGGGCCAGTGGCTGCAGGGACAGGGCTCTGGGAGGCACCCCTGAGTGGGGGGGTGGGGAGGAGAGCTGGGAAGGTGGGAGGGTGGAGCAGGGGTGCGGGAGCTGGCTCTGGACAGTGATGGGGTGGGAGGGACAGGGCAGAGGTGGCACTGAGGGTGCACAGGCGCTGTGAGCAGCCATGGTTGGAAGCATGTCTTAGAGGTGGGGCAGGGCTTCTGCTTTCTGCCCTCCTGGAGGCTTGAGCAAGCAACATGGGCATTACGGCAGGCACCAAGGTGGCTGCCGTAATGCCCATGGGTTGTGCCCAGGGACCCTGCTTCACTGAGGTCTCTGGGGAAGGGACAAGGCACACAAGAAGGTCAGGGTGTGTATTCCAGGAGCCTTGGCAAGGCTGGCTTAATTATTGGGCATGGACACAGATATGTACGCTCCAGGGTATAGATCTGGGCTTGGGGGTGCTGAGTGAAGAGCTAGTCAGGACTAATGGGAGGTGCAGGGAGTGGGTCCCCTAGGGGATTCAGAGTAGAGGTGGCACACCCTGTGTGTCTTAAGGGTCAGGCAGAGGAGGTGAAGGGAAGGCCAGGGGCTGCCCAGCACACTCAGTGCTGGCTCTGAGGCCAGATGGCTTCATCCCAGCCGGGATTCTGAAGCACCAGCCTGACGCGTCACTCGGGAGGGAGTAGACACAGGAGATCCTAGGCCCAGGTGAACTGCGGGAGGGAGACGTGGGACCGGGCAGGGACTCGAACCGTGAAGGTCTTGCAGAGCAGGGAGAGAGGCCTGACTTTCCCAAACCACCCAGACTTGGCTCACCCAGCCCTCCATCCTGTGCCAGGAGACCCAAGCAGGGACTGTGAGGGTGAGCAGGGCACCTGGCATCCCTATAACAGGTGCTTGGAAGGAAGTCCTTCAGCCCCTGCCACATACAGCTTGGCCCAGGCTGCTGCTCCCCCACACCCCAGCCCAGCACACAAGTCTCATTTGGCCACCAAAATGGGGAGATTTGCCATCTGGGACCTTGGGCCAGCACGCAGGTTGTCATGAAAAACACATTCAACCTTTCCTCATCTCTGGGGCTCACTATAATGCTGTAAGACTATTCTCAAGGAAAGTTTTCACAGAAGAGGCAGCCCGGGCTGGGAGACAGTGCTTTCTTTAATTGCATACTTGCTCTGGGTCACAGGAGTGGCACCTGCTCTCTCAGACTGGTGACTGTGGGGCCCCTGCTGGGTAGGGTGCTGGACCCCTGGGTGCACCTGGCCTCTAACCCTCCCAGCAAATTAGGACAAGGAGGCTCAGCGAGGTCAAGTTTATGCAGGGATAGAAACGGATCCTAAATCCTGGCTCCAAATCCATTGTTCATCCTGTGTGGCTGGTGCAGAGGTCACCTGAGGTGGACTGACCCAATGCCCAAGGCTGGAGAACTGGGGGCAGAGGCAAGCCCCTGCTGTGTACCTGACAGGTAGACTATGACCCTGGCTCTCACCCAGGCACTGTGGGAAATGTCAGTAGGACCTGCGAAAGACAAGGAGCCCCCTTGACCACAAGGCTCTGGGGAGCAGGCCAGTCACAGTAAATCCTCATTGAGTGCTAGGGCTCCGAGAGCTCTTTGAGGGCCGGGAAAGTGCCAGGGGCAGCAAGGGAAGGGAGGCCCCAGACCTGGAAGGCTGGAAAGAGGAAGGAAGGAGAGCAGGGCAGCTGGTGGGCGCCAAGGCCAGTTCCCTGCTCTGCTTGGTGAACTCCTGTGGACACACTCCAGCCACAGGAACACGGAGAGGAAGGTGGAGCCCCGAGCAAACGCCTAGGCTGGTCAGGGAACTCTACCTGACTGGGAAATGGGCCAGGTGTGGGGCAGGGTTGCATGCCAGGGAGGGCGCTAAATGAGTTTCCAGCTCATTTGCATGTCCTAATTAAGCATAAAATGAGCCCCAAAGGCAGAATTAAGCTGTCAGTTTCTCCCTGTAAACTTCCCCTGGCTCCGCCCTGTCTGGCAGTCCACTGAACTCTCCACCTCCCTACACTCTCCTGTCATTCCCACTCACCTCCTGCCCTTGGCTTCAGCAAAATCAATGCCAGGAGCCTCAGGGCTGGGGTGGGGTGTGACAGATACAGGAAAGCAGAGTGACTTGGAGGATCATTCTTTAGCAAAGCATGACATCACAGAGGGGTGTCGCTTCCTCATGGCAAGGCCTGGGCACGGTTCTGCCAGGGGATAGTCAGTATGCCACCTGCTATCGAGGAACAGGTGCTATGGGGTAGGAATGTGGGGGAGGAGGGCTGCAATTCTGGCTGCTCCCCACACCCTGCTTTGGAGCAGGTGTGGAGGACTGTGACCTGCACGCAACCAGAAGCCAGTGGAAGAAGCTTCAATCTCAGTTCTGCCTCTCCAGTACTTTGGGTGAATCACTTAACTGCTTGGGGACTAAACATGGGGCGTGATGGTAACAGCAGGGGAACAGCACCGAGCAGAAGGTGCCTGGCACCTGTCACTGAGGCTGCGAGTCCCGGTTGTGTGGTGTGAGCTCACATTAAAATGGGTTTCCACTCCCTCAATTCCTTCTGGTTCCTATGGCTAAGGATCCGTTTCCCTTTTTGCTGGATCCCCTTGAGGTCCACAGTGCAAAGCGCAGCACTGGGAAGTGTTGAAGAAACTGTGTTCAACGGCTCTGAATGGCTATGGTCAGTCCACACAACATGACCTGTAAGTGAATGGCCAAGACAGGGATTGGTTTCCTAGAGTCTTTCCAGACTCAGAACTGGTGCCATATTGAACACCTTGCAGGTCAGGTCTCTCCCCTCACAATCAGTAGGTGGAATCTTCACATGCACCCTCCCCCCCTACCCTCCGCCACATACACATCTCACCATCATCAAGGGTCTGAAGGCCCACCAAGGTCATGCCTGCCCTGGACTGCAATGTCTGAGTTCTCTATGGATACCAAGAACAGACAGGCAAGGGCCAGCTCCACCACAGTATTAGCTCCAGGGACAGAGATAGGAGAGAGAGAAAACCCCAAGGTTTTGGAGGCAGATTGCCTTCTGTTCAAATCTGGACTCTTTCCTCTGCCTGTCTAGCCAGTTTGCATGGTCCTGGAAGCAGCCAGCCAGCCCTTCTGGGACTCTCTGGGGCTGAGAGCTGCTCGCATCCCACCAACCAACCCTGACCATCTATCCCTCCCTCCTGTGGCTTCTCCCATCAAGGAAACACCTGCCACGTGACAGCGCCTGCAGGAGAGGTCCAGCAACCGGGCAGAGGGGCTTTCTTATATTCTCCTGTAGTTTGCTATAAACGCTCTGGGGGCAGGAAGAGCCGTGCTTGTAATTGCAGCTGTCACAGCCCATCATGCTGAGCTGCTAACCTTGGGGATGGTGGGGGGTTGGGAGGAATAGGGAGGGGCGGAGCAGGGGCGCACCCTCCTGAGACCCACATTGTTTTCTCACAGCCAGGGGACGTGGCCTGCCGAGGTGGGCGGGACCGCGGCTGCTATCCCTCGACCAGCCCAGCTCAGCCCTGCTCCCCAAGCCTCAGCTGACTCCAGCCCAAGGAGGGACACGGAAGCCATAGCTGCGCTGGAGGCCAGGTGTCGTGCAGGGGCAGTGCAGCCCCTCCAGGACCCCTGCCAGCCGCGAGTCCTTGGACCAGCAGCCTGGGTAAAGCTTGCATCCTCATCTGAACAAAACAGATCCTCCTGTTGTACATGGCCCATGTACAAATGAGAATGAGGCAGTATGCAGGAAGGCTCTGGGGGCCGCTCGGGGGTCCCCAGCTGCTCCTTAGATGTCACCTCATTCAGCTGGCCTCTTTAGGAGCCCCAGCCCTGACTGCCAGAAGCAGAAGCGGTGCCTGGCCAGGAAAGCAGTCACCTGGTGAGGGCTCTTTAGGAAGGGGCCTCAATGCCCTCTTACAGATAACTCCAGTGGGGTCTTTGGGGACATTAGAGAAATGTCCCAGGATTCCCTGCTCCCGTCCTGCCCCACAGGAGCACATCTCGCTGTCTCTCCCACTTCTCTCCCTCTTCCTTTGTTAATGAACACCACTCCCCCACCAGCCAGCCCCTGGGACAGCCTCTCCCCACCAACGCCCCCTCACCCCTGCAATGAGAACTCGGCTTCTTCCTCCTGTCTGAGGGAAAAGGAACTTGGAGTTGGGCCTAAGTCCTGCCACTCGTTTGCCCACCCTCCTCCCTGCCCCCGGAGACCCAGCCTGGGGACCCGGCCCTTTTCAAGTTCAAGCAACAGCTTCGGTCTCTAGGATTCAGACCCAGACAGCCGTGTTAATATCAAAGCCTGAGGGCGAGGCTTCCAGGGTTTTGGGGCAAGCTGTGGAAGTGCTGTCCCCTCCTCCAGGCTCCCCGGAGCCTGGGAAGGAGCAGTGTCCGGAGCCCTTGGCATGGCTCCGCTTCTTGAGCTTCTGGGAACGGGCAGCTGTAGGCGTCACCCAGCCCGGCTTCTCCTTCAGCAGCCGGTCACGGTCCGGCCGCACGCTGCGCAAGAACTTCCGGAAGATGTTGGCAGTGAGGGCAAACTTGCGGCCCAGTTCCCGGGGCTGGCTTTTGTCTCCTCTGGGTTCCCCCACCTCCTGAGTCTCGCCCTTCTCCCCAGACTTCTCCAATTCCGGCAAGTCTAGCCAGTTGCCCACCAGGTCTGCAAAAACATTGTCCCCTAACACGAGAGGCTGGCGATTGCGGCCCCGCGACATCAGGGTGGAAGTCCAATCATCAGGCTCCAGCTGCTCTGACCCCTGCCGGCCACAGCTCTGGTGATCCGGTGGCTGCCTCTTGGGCAGGGGTGCTGCGCTGTTCCCACAGACACTGGCACTGGGTAGGAACTTGGTGCTGCTGCCAAGAGAAGCCTGGCTGGAGGGGAAGCCGGCCTCGGGTCTGGCAGGAGCTCTGCCAGCCTCCCACGCAGGGTGCTCGGGTGGTGTCTGTGGGGCGCTCTCCAGACGCCCTCCGGAGATGTCCAGCTGTTCCAGTGCTGTCTGTACCTGAAGGAGCTTCAGCTCTTGCAGGGCACCCATCATGCAGTTCATCTGATCCTGCAAGCCATCGCCCACCTCCTTCATGGACATCTGTGGGGGGCAGAGAAAACACAGGGCCAGTGAGCCGCAGGGCCAGGACGACAGCCCGACCCCATAGTCCCAGCATCATTCCACTTGTCACCAACCCGCCTCTTGACAGCCTGGCCAAGCGCACCTGGGGGCCAGCAGAGGAGAACTCTGAACATGAGTATGACTGGAGCGAGGAAACATTAGCTAAGGCAGGCACCGCCCTGAACTATACAGATGATGCTCCAATTCCGATGAGGCCATGTCCTGACGAGTCCAGCCAAAGATACCAGAAGTTAAAAGGCGATGTGTACTACACCTCACTGCTGACTCAGTCCACCTCTGTGTGCTCAGAATACACATGCACTTGCCAAGGGGGCACAGTCATCCCACGCCGAGTATCTTGCGTGACTTCCTCATGACTGTACTCAAAGTAAAAAATGGGACGGTCAGGAGAGCTGCTACACATTACTGTCAAGGCGCCAGCTATGAGTGAGGTGCAGCTGTGTCTCCGGATCCACTGCATTTCCCCAGCCACCCCATCACGGAGGCACATCAGTCCCCCGCCCAGGACAGAGCTGAGAGCGGAGTGAAGGTGGCCATCCCCACCCCCCTGGAGCCCAACAGCAGCATTTCCTGTGTAGCAGAACCTGGGCCAACCATTCCATGCACATCGTCTCATGGAAGTTGTATAAAGACATCTTTCAATTTTAAAATGAAAAGAAATCTGTTCAGTGCAAAAATATTTTGAAAACCATGTATATCCTGAAAGGGTCATTCAAGGGGTTAGTGCTTCTACCTGAGGCACTGATATCCCATACGGGCACTGGTTTGAGCCCCAGCTACTCAAATTTCGATCCAGTTCCTGCTAATAGCCTGGGAAAGCAGCAGAAGATGGTCCAAAGCCTTGGGACCCTGCACCGCTGTGGGAGACCCAAAAGAAGCTCTTGGCTCCTGGTTTCAGATTAGCTTAGGCTGTTGCAGCCACTTGGAGAGTAAACCAGTAGATGGAAAGCCTTCTCTTTATCTTTCCTTCTCTCTCTCTTTTTTTCTTTTTAAGACTTATTTTTATTTTTTTAATTATAAAGTCAGATATACAGAGAGAAGGAGCGACAGAGAGGAAGATCTTCCATCCAATGATTCACTCGCCAAGTGACTGCAGTGGCCGGTACTGTGCCAATCTGAAACCAGGATCCAGTAACTTCTTCCAGGTCTCCCACATGGGTGTAGGGTCCCAAGGCCTTGGGCCATCCTTGATTGTTTTCCCAGGCCACAAGCAGGGAGCTGGATGGGAAGCGGGGCCTCTGGGATTAGAACTAGCATCCATATGATCAGGCTTGGACAAGGGAAATTTATAGAAATAGCCACCAAAGAGCAACACACACATAAGTAATCAGAATTTAGCGCATAAAATTAGATTGTAATAAAAATGGTTTTTGTGTTTCTGGATTTTTTAGGCCTTTTTAATTTTGTGGTTTTTTTTCTATTGTGGATTTCTTTTTGTTTACTACACCAATAAATGTTTGTGCCAGCGAACATGTTTTTTGAATTCTAATTGTCCTATTTGAGACTGTTTTTTTCAAACGTGCCCTACTTGAACATTAGGGGTGTGTCTGAAGTGTGTGTGCGTGTGTGAAGAGATGTGTGTGTGTTGTTGTTGCTTGTTAGTATGTGGAGGTGTGTGTGTAATGTTAGTGAGGGGGATGATAGAAAAACAGGGAATAGTCACACACACACAATGTATATTTACGTTGTATTGGGTGATGTACACACACACAGAGAACACACATATAGGGATGGGGAAAAATTGAGTTGGGCAGTAAATAAGCTGGAGATGAATATTGAATGAGGTGTAGTATGATGATGTGGTGATAGAATTATAATTTAAGAGAATAGGGTGAAAAGATATGTTTGGATTTTTTTATGGTGATGGGTGGAAAGGGAACAGAGAAGGTTGGATATTGGGGGGGAGTCGGTAATATTTGTGGGTTGTTTGTCGTGGATGTTGATAGGAATGTGGGATATAATTAGAGTTGACGGGTAGGGTTAAATGGTAACACACACACACAATGTTTGGGAGGTGGGGGGCGGGAAGGAGATGTAATATGTGTACATTTATAAGGGGGGAGGTTGGTTGTTTATGAGCGAGTGGAGGGGAGGGATGGGAAAAGATGTGGGGTTGGTATATCTCTTCTCTGAATTTGGGGAGGAGGAGAAATTTGTAGGGTAGTTGTTTTGGGTTGGTGAATGATTTAGAAGGGAAGAGGAGAAAATTAAGAGAGAAATAAATTTAAAGAAGATAGATGATGAGATATTATGTTGGGGAGAATGAAAGTGAAGTAGCAAAGTAGGTAGATGGGTGTGGAAGGATTTATATACTACCAATGTGACGGAAGGCGAAAGGCAAAAATGATGGGTGTCTGAGGCCCGAGTCCCAGGTGCCATCTGGAAAGGGCTAACATTGGCTTAGGTGAGGGCGGATGTGGAGGCCCAGGAGGAGTTGGCTCTGTATGACAACATTCACTGGCTCCTGGTCCCTGGCCTGAACCGCCTTGGTCTTGTCAGCCCCCTCCCCAGCTCCTGATCAAGTTACCCACAGCAAGCCTCCTGTGCAGGGACCATCTGTTTCTTAAGCCTTCCCTTCTCTCCCCCCATCCCCACCCCCATCCCCAGGGGCCCATGAGATCATCTTACCTCCCAGGCTTGTCTGAATGCTCAGGGCTGAGTCCTGAGGGTGGAGGGGTGGGAGTGGAAGGGCAGGCCCAGAGGCACTGCAGGCTGGCCAGGGCTGGCTGGCAACTGACCCTCACAGGCTTCTGGTGGGGGAGTATGGAGAGTGTAGAGAATCCTCCCCTGCCAGGCCTGGCCCTGGTCCTGGCCCTGGTGTGGATGAGGGGATGTGAGCCAGACTCTCAGGAAGCCAGCTGCACTGAAGGACAAGGGAGGACACTCTGTCCCCTAGGGCACGGGCAGCCTGTACTGGAATGGGGGATTGCCCACGCTTTGTGCACCTTCTCCAACACAGGGCAAGAAGCCATGGTTCGAGGTCCTGACAGATCTAGGGATTGCTTGCACAAGTCAGTGCCATTTGGGTGGTGGTGGCAGCAGCCAGAGACATGGTGGGCTGGCTGTACACGCTGCTGGCAGCCTCTTGCTCCTACCTCTCAGAGACCTTCCCTTTCGAGGCTTTCGGCTGTAGTTGGTGACACCCAGAGGCACAGCTGGAGGAGCCCAGAAGTCCAAAAGCAAACTCGTTTCCTTGTTGCCACACTGCTTCTCATCCATGCCAGTTCCCAATATCTTCCCTCCTCCCCAGGGTCACCTTCCATGTCACCCCTACCTGGAACAACAGAGTCGTGGCGTCTCAATCTAGCCACCCTACTCTCAGCCAAACATAAGCAAGTCCCATGCCTTGGAAACTGCGGGAGCCTCCCTGGAGTACCCTGACTCCCACACACACCACCATCTCTGCAGTGCCTGGACACTCAAGTCCACATTCCCAGGGCCTGAGTCAAGATCCTCCGAGACAGTTGTCAGTGCCAAAACACGCACACCAGCCACACTCCGACGAAGGGATCTCTGCGGAGCCGGTTTTGTGACACAGGTTCAGCCGCCACCAGCAACAACAGCATCCCACCTGGGCAGAGGTTTGAGTCCCTGCCACTTCACTTCTTATCCAGCACCCTGCTGCTGCAACTGGGTGAGCAGCGTAAGAAACCCATGTGTTTGGGCTCCTGCATCCACGCACGAGACCATGACAGAGTTCCGGGCTTCTGGTTTTGACTTGGCCCAGTCGCAGCTGTTGTGGTCATTTGAGGAGCAAACCAGTAGACAGATGGAAGATCTGTCATCTCTCTATCACTGATCTCGCTCTCTGAAAGTCTGTCTTTCAAATAAATCAATCTTTAAAAGAAAGAAAGAAAGAAAGCTCTTCTGTGTCACGTCATCTGCTCGTCCCTGTGAGTGTAAACGCTTGCTCAGTCATTCATGAAATATTTACTGGACCTCTCTGGCTGGGAGACAAGGACTCCACTCTACCCCTCACGGTGTCACCCCAGACAGTGAGTCCCACTGACTCCCCCAAATCATCCCTCCTCACTGCTTGCTCCCTTCAGACAGTAAGCCACTCACAAGGCTTCAACGCCCCGAGAGGCAAGCAGAGTGATCTGGCAGGCTTTTCCGTGACGGGCTAAACACAGCCCAGGTCCGAGGCAGTGGGAGGAATGAAATGACCCCATTCAGTTTCATCCAGGGTGGAAAAATCCATAAGGAAGAATGCTGACATTTTGCACAGATTTCCAGCAAGAATGCATGTGTGGGCATGTGGATGAATTCAGGGCTGCCCATCCAACAGAGGACCCATTGAAGTCAATGGGGCTAAAATTGCACCCATATGGAGCATGCTATGCTGGACTGGGTTCTGGAGACAGGTGGAACGAGTTCAAATTGCAGCTCTAGCACACACAGAGTAGCTTGTGTGACTCAGGAGGCTGGCTGTTGAAATTCTATGGTTTACAACTTCTCCATGCTTGAAAGTGAGTGCACAGTGATTCTTGCAGGGCCATGGCACAGCCACTGTGGAGGTGAGATGAATGATGGGCCACTCCCCCCTTGGTGAACTTTGGCTGCGCAGGAACACTCCCCGTGGACCTGCAGCATGTGCCTTTTTCCATGCATCTGAACAGGATTCCACTCATGACATCCCTCCTGTCCCTTCTCCCACCACCTCCACCCCATGCAGGGGAAGGGCCCTGACCTCAGGCGGCCCAGCCACAGACAGGAGAAGGCAGCTGTGAGATGGAGGAGAAGGGGAGGAGGGAGCAAGCTGTGGAAACTGGGAGGGCTGGGAGTGATGGGGAGGTAGGAGGTCAGCCTGCTGGCCTTTCCCAGCAGACCCCAAGGGGATGATGTCACCCAGCAAAAGAGCCAGAGGCCACACTGGTCCCTTCCAGAGCGTGGGACCTTCCCGGATCCCAGGGCTCTTCTTATCCGAGGAACCCGAGGGGAAGAAGAAAGCCATGTGGGGAGCCTAGGAGGGTGGCCAGAGCAGACAGAAAAAGTCCAAACACTGAGTGCCCGTCTAAGGGCTGGTTAGAGGGTCCAGATTCCTCCTTAACCTCTGATGAGCTCTGAGCATCAAACACTTCCTCAGGACAGAGCCCACATCATTCCCAGCTTGCTGTCAGGGCTCAGCTGGAGAGCCCCTGATCAGTGGCCCAGATCAGGCTAGGTGGGAATGGATTTAGCCTGCCTTCCCTTTCCTACACGCTGGTCTGTCTCTACACACACACACATGCACATGCACACACGATGCCCTCAACAGGCACATCCAGTAGTGAGTCCAGAGGACCTCCGCGTCACACCCATGCCCATCTCCCACCTCCCTGGGCTTACTGGCCTTGTGGTGCTTCGTGCTGCACACTGTCTGCAGAGCCAGCCTCTCTCTGGCTGTGGCTCTCAGTCCCTGCTTTCCTCACAGTGTCTGAGCCGTGACTCCCAGTACAGTGCACAGTCCAGGCCAGGCAACCCAGCTAAGGGGGCCACGTGATGCTGAGCAGATCCGCCAGCCTTCTGCGTCTGAATGTCTTTATCTGAGGAATGAGAGCCCCTCCACGTGTGCAGCACCCATCAGCCCTTTCCTGGACATGGCCGTGATCACTTCGGGAACACTTAAGACTACAGCCCACACTGTGGATTAGAAAACCGGAAGTCTTCTCTGATCACCTCCTCTCCCAGACTGCCTTCCTGACACTGTGTCCATAGACAATCTACTCTCCCATCGGGCATCTCTGAGCTGCTTGTGTGTGTGATGCATTTACAAGAGAAGCTGTGTGAAACGCCTATCACACAGCACGAAGAGATCATTACCATGGATTATGACACCAGTTGGCTGCCTGGGGTCCCAAGGGGACTTGACACCCGAGGGCCTCCCCTTTTGCTCCCAGCCCTGGGCTCTGCAGCCAGCGCACCCTCTGGTCTCTGAGTCTCAGGGGGCTGTTGCGAGAGGCCAGTAGGGCCGTCAGCGCCACCTGGGGAGGAAGTTTATGAAGTCATCTCCTAGAGAAACTCTAGATCCCAGTTCAGTTCCTTTAGCCAGAAGAGCTCTTTGTCACTGAATCCTGGAAAGAGGAAAGAGGAGCCGGCTGCAGGGGAGCTGGAGGGGAAGGTACCACTATAGGCCTGCAGCCTGAAGCCCCCGGAGTGGGTGGTGTGGGTCAGCTGCCCACAGACAGTGCCCTCCCCCTGGGCACCTGCTGGGCCCTTTGTGGTGTGGGAGGAGTGGGGATGGGAAAATGTGACACCAGCCTCCCCCTGGGCTCCCTTCCCAAGCCCTCCCTGGCATCCCTGATGGTCTCGCAGCTGTGCCCTGCCTGTATCCATCTCACGCCCTCTTCCAGTTTGGCCAGAACCCTTGGACACAGGCTCCAGCTTTGCCCATAGACCTGGCAGTGGGCCCTGGCTTACTGTCCCCAACCCCCTATTACTCACAAGATTCTCCAACATGGTCTCTTTCAGCCCTGGGGAAGCTAGGGGGAGAGGCTGCGGGGCCAGGAATGGGAAAAGCCCCAAGTGGCTTGTTCTGCAGCCCAGTGAATGGGACCTTCCGCAGTTCCTGCTCTTGGCTGGAACTCTCAACAGGAAGGTGGCAGCGAAGCTGTGCCAAGAGCTGCGGGGAAGAAAAGGGTAAAGAAAAGAGGAAGTGAGGGATGTGAGATGGATGAGCCCACTGGCCCAAGTGAACCATCTATTGGGGTCACATGCTCAGGCAAGAGGCAGCCAGGGGGAGAAAAGGACCCAAGGACGCTTCCGTGAGAAGCTTGCCTCTTAACTTCAGCCCTTCTCTCTGACCAGCTATAACTCCTTCCCAAGTCAACTGGATTCCCTGGGCATCCAAGGGACCACAACCAGTCATCTCTCTGTTCTGTCTGGTCATTGTTATCTTATGCCGGACTCTTACAGTAACTTCCTAACTCAATCTCCCTCCCTCCTTCCACCTCTCTCCAGCACCACCTGCTAAACCACAGGGCATCCCTTGTCATGCTGCCCTTCAACGCAAACAGAAAAGGCCAGACTTTGTTCCTGACACCCAGGGCCTGCGGGGTCTGCTGTAAGCAGCTGCTTCAGCTCTGTTGCCTGCTTTTTATGTGCCCTGTGCTCTATCTAGGCAAACTCAGTCTTCAAATGTCCCCACTACTTTAGCCTCTAGGCCTTCCGCCCAAGGTTTCTTACCTGCCTGGGACACTGCTTTGCTTCCACACATGCCCCTATTTCTCCTTCAAGGTCTAGCTCAAATGCCATCTTGTGAGGCTTTCCCTGATCTCGCAGTGGGCACTCTCAGGGCACTGACCCTGTACCTCTTCTATCGCACATACACTCCCTTCTGTACTAGCAGCTAGTATGAATGTAACAGTAGCTTCAGAGCAGAGGCCCTGCAGTCACACTGGCTGGGGCTGACTCCTAGTGCTGCTGCCTGTCAGCTGTACAACCTTGACCAAATTGTTACACTCCCACCCTGCCACACACCCACACCTCTGCCTTCTCACTTACAAAACACAAGTAACAAAAGGAAAACTTTTCATTGTTGCTTTGGTGATTAGGTAACATCATGCGTTCCGTGCCTGGCACTTCAGTGTTCACATCAGCAAACGTTACTGTTGTTATCCCTGAGATTCCATTTTCAGTTCCCTGAAGACAGAGCCTATGCCTGCGCTTGCAACCACAGTGCCCATGCCTGGAGAATGCCTTGAGCTTGACCTGAACTTGACAAACGTGTCCTGGGAATGAACCAGTGACTTCCACAAACCAATCTGTTCAATCCTCCACCAACAATTTACCAGGCAGGTGCACACATCAGGTACGGTGCTACTGATTGCTAAGGACATACACTTGGTGGGGGAGATCCTTCACGCCCTCCTTTATTCCTTAGCTGTATAAACTCAGTTTATGAGATCCCATTTTAGAGACGAGGAGTGAATTAGTATGTGAGAGTCACGTAGAGCAAGGATTTGAGTTCAAGTAAGACTAAGCCCGAATCCTACACTCTGCTCCCAACCCCACTGACGCAACTCAGAGTCCTCTTCTTTCTGTTTTACACATCAAGACAGACCACGACACAGACTCCTGGGCAAACACTGCTTTCAGACTCCATTTGTTGGCTCTTCTGCCCAGAGTAAGAGCTGAAGGCACTTTCTACTATCAGTCTGGCATCTGGGCCCTGTCCCTTCCCCATGAGCTGTCACCTCCTGAACCTGGAGCCACTGGATGCTGAAGAGCTCCTAGAACCTTCCTGGAGCCCCAAGGAGGAACTTCCCTGCCCGAGGGAAGTCTCTGCTTCACGAGCCAGCCTCACTTTCCTCCAGAAAGCCTCCCCCAGCCCATGTGCCTTCTGTTTATCCCACACTCGCCCATCTCCCTGTGAGCAGCTTACATCTGTTTGCTCTGTGCGCCTGTGGCTGCCCCACTTGCTGGAAGCCCACAGGGGAGCCAGGTGTCAAGGAACAGCTGGTCCCAAGGCCTTGTGTTCAGGCAAGGAAGGGAGGCCGTTGGCGGCTGGAGGCAGCTGGGGTGGGGAGTGATGTGCTCCCTGCTGAGTTGTGGCAGCCTGGACCTCCTTATTCTAATGAGGGAGTGTGTCAGCTGCTGCTACTCTATGGCCACATTTCACCCCATAAACGTGATCCTTCTTTTCCCATTCAGGCAGCAGGAAAGGGGAGCTCTGACCCCTGACCCCTCAGCAGAGAACACCCTCACCCTTCTACAGTGCAAACTTTCTGCTAAGGGATTGTGGGACATGGGGTTGTCAGGAACAAACCCTTCTGATCTAAATGTTCCAGGCCAAAGATAGGGCCAAGCTGCAGGAGAGCAAAAAACTGCCTCGACAAAGATGGTCTCACCAATCGGCTTTCTTCTCCAGCAGGTGCATCTACAGAGTGCACCGGCATCAAAGGGACTTAACGGGAACACATGAGTGTAGAACTTGATCAGTGTCACATGAGGCGATCCCCAGACACAGCGAATAAGAGCCAACCAACACACTGACCTCCTGGGTGGCGAGGCCGACCTCATCTTGGGGTGAGCTGCCTGCAGCTCATAGCAGAAACCACCTGTATGCCTTCCTCACGCCATGCAGACTCTGGGTATGAGCAAAGCAACACCTTCCTAGCCAGTCACAATCAAGATCCACTTGATTCAGCCCTGACCTTCCTTGGGGGAAGACAGCTGAGCAGCTGATCCCGCCTAACTCTGCTCTCCTTTCCTCTCTGCTCCCACCAGGAATACTGAGGCGCTGAGATCTGGCCCAGCCGCCTAAGCATAGGGCATGGGCGAGCAGGTGAGCCTGACTCTCTGTGCTGGCACTGGAGCAGGGAGGAACATGGTGGGGAGAGAGGGACAGGGGTGCAGGGAGCTCTCCCATCTGAGTGTCATTCTGGGCCCCTGGCCAGGCGTTTGGCTTCCTCTTCCGAGAGAGAGTCAAAGGCTGAAGCTGATGAGACAAAGGGCCAAGTGAAAGCTATCGGGGATTCAGTGACTTCAGCCTCCCCCCTTCCTCCTCCCAGGCACGGGGTGGGGGAAGCAGGGGGGCTCAAGTACTTGGCAAGACAGGGTACAAGTCAGGATGGCGAGTTGGGCTCGGTGTACATTGCTGCTTGTCTTTTCTACTCTCCTGCCATCCCAGACTGTCTTCCTCCCTTCACCACCTCCCACCTAGGGTGCTGCAAAAAAAAAAAAAAAAAGCAAATTAGTAAGATTTTAAAATTCAAGCCCATGCCAGGAACACCCACAAACCCTGGATTAAGGCAGATCCTGAAGTGGGTGGATGGTCCCGGATTGCAAGCACATAGTGGAGAGGAGGCTTCTGGAAGCTTGTTTTCTCAGTATGGACTTGGAACCTCAGACGTTATATGCGATGAGCTTGACCCTTCTTTCTGGTATTGGACCCGCAAGGGGAAAATCAACAATAGTGTGTGTGTGTGTGTGTGTGTGTGTGTGTTGGGGGGAACTCCAGACCAAACTGGCATGAGGAATATCTACAAGCCAGAGTCAAAAGAGGCACGGTACAGGGTCAGAAGGGAAGCGTGGACACCTCTGCAACTTGCCAAAGCAGTCATTCTCCCAGCCAGGAACTTCTGTCATCTCTCAGGAAGAGGGACTGAGGAAATGAGCAGGGGGCCCAACTGGAGCCTGTGCTAGGAGTGGCTGCAGCAGGGCCAGCTCAGGAAGTGCTCCCAGCACACCTGCAGCTTCCAGCGCTGCCCCTACCCCTCTAAGCTGGCTCCCCAGGGCGCTGCCAACTTCCCTCCCCAAGCAGGAAGAGTGTAGCCTCTGCAGGCGGCAGGGGGATAGGGCTTTGACGTAATTTGTGAAGCCCTGAGTTGGCACTTTGGCTAGCCTTCTCTGCTGGGGCGCGCCTACGTGCCCCTGGCTCTGAAAAAGCAGAGAAGAGAGACTGGGGAGGCTCAAGGCAGAGACAACCTACGAGACGAAAGCCACGAAATCCAGGGGCAGAGGCGGGAGAGAGTCCCGTGAGGACAGATAGACCAGAGACTGGGGGTGCGCGTGCATGACGTCTGCCCGGTCTAAGCAAACAGAAAGGTGGCCTGTCAGGGCTAGGACAGGGGGCCTCACGTGTTGGTTCAGCAGGCGCTCCCACCCCCCAGCCCCGCCTGCACCCCAGGGCCTCCGCACGCTCCCTGCACACTCCCCAAGCCCAGACCTGACATCTGGCTGGGCCTCCGCAGCTCCCGCTCGCGATCTGCCAAGGCGGCGCCCCTCCTCCCGCGCAGGGCCCTCCCCGGCATCCCAGCTGCCAGCACCCCCCCACTCCCTGCTGGCAGACAAGCCCGGGCAGACAGCCGGCCCAGCCTGCCCCCGCAGCCGCGCCAGCTCTGCCAAGCCCGGCGGGGCTGAGGGCCGGGGCCGTGTCACTCACCCCGGGGCCAGCGGTCTCCAGGGACCTCCCGCCCCGGGCGGGGATCGGGTTCCCGCGCGCCTAGCCTCTCCCGGCACGCAGGGCACTCGGTGTCCGGCGCTTTTCCCGAAGTGTCGCTCGTAGGTGAGTCTGTCTATCTCTTTCCTCTCCGGGCAACATTTCAACCTAGGTGGCCGCTCTCTGCCTGCTCTGTTACTTGTTCCTACCTCTCCAGCCGTCTTCGCTTGAAAGTTTCCTCGTGGCCCCCTTCTCAGGCCAAGCCTTACCGTCTGCCTGCGGGACGGCGTCCTCCTTTCCACTCTCCGCTCTGCCCCGTGCGCGTCCCGGCTCCCGGGAGGCTGGGAGCCGGGGAGGTGACCTGTCCGGGCGCTGAGCAGCCCTCCTGCCCCCCGGGATCAGCCTGGCTCTTACCAGCTCCTGTTTGAGGCGTCGCAAATAGCAGTCCATCTCCCTGCTCTCCTTCTCACGCGCCCATCTGCCGGACTTGGCTGGCACGAGGGAGTCCCGGGGTGGGCACCCTGGGCAGCGCCGCGTCCGGGTCCGTGCGCCCCGCGCCTCTTGCAGCGCGGAGCCGAGCTTCAGCTCCCCGGCTGCGACTCGGAACAGCTGCCCCTGCCGCTCGCCCGCACGCCGCGGGGCCGGGGGAGGATGGAAAAGTGGGGCAGCCAATGAGCTTTCACAGAGGGGGAGGCCTCTGGCCAATGAGAAGAGCGCCCGGGGGTGAGGGGCACTAGTGGACTCCGCCTGGATGCTGGATGGGGCCAAGGCGGCGGCCGCCGGGGGATGCCAGAGGGCACCGGCACGGGGGCGGCGGGGTACGTGGGACACCAGGCGGGAAACTCCTGCGGGGTCCTAAAGGAGAGCACAGTTTAACAGGAGGGGGACTCAGCGGCGATCTGGGTTAAGAGGAGCCGAGCCATGGTGGCGACTCTCCTGCCAGGAAAAACCCTCCACCTCAACTCCGCCACTAGAAGACCTTCGGCAGTCCTTTTCTTTCCTAAGGG